TCCACTGAAAATCAAGATGAAAATTTTGGGTAACTTAGAAAATTCTGGGGAGCAATAGAAATAGCTTTGTGGCATTTGACAGGCACAGCAAAGCAGGGAAAATGAAGACTAATTCTTTAATTTCTTTTATTAATATATTTTTATTGATTTCAGAGAGGAAGGGAGAGGGAGAGAGAGATAGAAACATCAATGAGGAGAGAGAATCATTGATTGGCTGCTTCCTGCAAGCCCCCCACTGGGCTCGAGCCCACAACCTGGGCATATGCCCTTGATGGGAATCGAACCTAGGACCCTTCAGTTTGCAGGCTGACGCTCTGTCCACTGAGCCAAACCGGCTAGGGCTTTAATTTCTTTATAACCTGCTATTATTGTAAGACTTTCACATGATTGCAAGCCATCATGACCTCTATTTTATATATATATTTTTTTATTGATTTCAGAGAGGAAGGAAGAGGGAGCGAGATAGAAACATCAATGATGAGATAAAGTCATTGATTGGCTGCTTCTTGCACACCCCACACTGGGAATCAAGCCCTCAACCCAGGCCTGAGCCCTGACCTGGAATTGACCATGACACTCAACCACTGAGCTATGCCAGTCGGGCCCATCATAGCCTCTAAAGTCCTTCATCACTTATAGCAGCCTAAGAAATAGGACATGAATTGAGAGCTGGCTAAGGACTTTAGCTGGGTGCCTTGTAGGTAGACTGCTCTCAATAACTACTCTGGAAAGTTTTAGAGGAAGGCATACATACATACCGTTAAGGATGGGACACAGAGAATTGCAGCGGTGATATTTTTTTTCTCTTTTCTCATCCTCAGAACCAAACTGTGAATTAGAATTAATCTGATTCTTCCCACTTCTATAAGTTAACAATATTAATATAGGAATCCCCAATATGCTTGTCTATCCTGCAGTGAAGGAGGATAACAGAGGCAGTGTGGTGTACGAGTGGAAAGAGCATGGCATTGAAGTTAAACAGGCAGATTTGAATCCCACTGTCCCTCGTTAGTTGTCTGATCTAAGACAAGTCACTGTCCCTCTCTGAACATTACCTATAAAAAAATGGAAAAGGTAATATCTATCTTACAGTGGTTTGGAGCAGACTAAATAAAACAATTAAATAAACATGTAAACACGCCTGACAAATAGAAGATGTTCTTTCATGTTAGTGCCCCTCCTCCTACCCCAGGCCTCTGCATGTGTTCATGTGAAGGTTTGATCATCAAAGAAAATTAAGGTAAAGTTAAGAACTATCTGTCAAGGGCTTGCTGTGAATGTCTAGGCCTTGTGGTAGACAGATGAGAACTTCAATGAGCCTGTAATCTATATCAGATCGCATCTGAAAACTAATGGCTGCTATGTAGCATTGGAATTGAGAGAAGAGAAAGATCTTTGGGCTGGAATGATCAGGAAAGGCTTCATGGGAGATGTAAGAATTGATGGAAATACAGGCTGCATGGATATATAACACGTTGTGTAATGCTATTTTTATTCTAAACAGAAATGTTTTTCAAAGATTATATAATACAGAAATTTTTAAAAGTTTTTTTAACTTCTTTTTGAATTTATTTAAATCACTCTTTATATTTTAATTACCGTTGACATACAATATTATATTAGTTTCAGGTATACACATCACTAGAGACATATAAAATAGAAAATTGAGCCCAGCTGTGTTGCTCAGTGGTTGAGTGTCGACCCATGAACCAGGAGGTTACAGTTCAATTCCCAGGCAGGGTATGTGCCCAGATTTCTGGCTTGATCCCAAGTAGGGGGTGTGCAGGAGGCAGCCAACCAATGATTCTCTCTCATCGATGTTTCTATCCCTTTCTCCCTCTCCCTTACTCTCTCTGAAATCAATAAAAACATATTTTTTAAAAGAAAATTGATTCTTTTTTTCTGACCCTCAATCTAGCTAGTCTTAAATTTGAGTGACTTAAAATTCAACAAAATAATAGCAAAAATAGCAATATTTTATTCGAATTATATTTCTGCACACTATGTATAAAACCCTCTATGTAATTCTGAAAGGAAGCTATTTAAATTATTCTTAATCAGAACAACACAATATCTAGCCCACACAAAGCCTCAGGAGAGGGTGCTCTTTGACCCAAAATGGAATGTCCCCACAGAAAAAGCCCCAGATATAGCATAGCATGTAGATACCCAGAGTGAACAAAACAAAACTAAAATTGTCGCTATGCATAGTAGAGAAAATCTGTAGACTAAAGGGTTTTAATGCTAATTTAAGAATCAGGAATGATTATCTATATGCATGTAAAAAATAACTTGGATAGAGAATTGGCCTTAGTGATTAAATTTATGAAATGCTCCTAAGATATAAATAAGTATGCGTGTATGTTTGTTTCTATGTGTGTATTATATCCATGCTTGTGTTTTCTTGAAAGGGGTGTTTGTACTCAGGCCCCATGTTATTGTATCATCATGGAATACTGTGCCCATGGACAACTCTATGAGGTTTTGCGAGCGGGCAGGAAGATTACGCCTCGATTGCTAGTAGACTGGTCCACAGGAATCGCAAGTGGAATGAATTATTTGCATCTTCACAAAATTATTCATCGTGATCTCAAATCACCTAAGTGAGTACTGGAGCTAATTTTTCAGCCATTTTGTTTTATTGCTTTGAAATAAGGAATTCCATCAACCTTAGTTGAAGTTTTCAGACATGACACTTTTGGTTCAGCTAAGCCAGCATAGTAGGCAATGCTATTTGTGTATCTTTTGGATTATTATTGACCTACTTACCTATGTAGATGGCAGATATGTTCAGGCACCTGACACTAGTCTTACCTTTTTGTTGCGTTGTAATTGTACAATTATGAAACAATTCATTATCTGAATAATTAATCATTTTGAATAATTAATGCCAAACTTCCTCACTTGGAGGCTTGACTTGTTATTTCCCTGTGTGTTTCCAGAAAAACACTTTTTAAAAGTGAATTTCAGAAATGCACTTAATACAGTCAGGTGAAAGTGAATGAATAAGAAACAGAGGCAAAGAGTAAATAAAAATGTTAGAACTAAAGCTCGTTCACAAAATGGATACCATAGGATTCTCTACCGCTGTGGTATAGAGGTGGACTCCATATTTGGTGCTGAGTTTCCTAAAGTCTAAGCAAAGAAAGAAAGAAATAGTTATAAAGTTCACAGTGTCTATAAGAAAAATACAAACTGATTATTTAAGAGAAGCAAAGCTGTTTCTAGTAACCTCTGTTTTCAAAACGATTCCTTGGCTACTAATAACCACTTTAAGAGGAGTGTTTATCAGTTCCTCAAATTGCATAAAAGAATTGATAAACTGGTATATTTCAGTGTTGCTCCTATTTTTAAACATTTGTATCACTTCTCATCACATTTTGGTTTGGAGAAACAGAAAAGGATTAATCTTTTTTGCATGTGCTTTTATGGTTTACAACATATTTTTATATCCATGATCACATCTGCTTTGATCTTGGCAAAAACTGTGTGGGATAGATGTGACAAGTATCATTATTTTTATTTTATATAAGAGAAACTAGGCTCAGAGCCTGAAGTCATGGAGCTAGAACTTGAACCCAGAACTTTTTGACCAAAGACCACTGCTTCCTAAGTCATCATGTGAAGGTGAGGGATTCACAAGGAATCCTGCCTCTTCTCCATGGAAGATAGAAATCAGTCTTGATTATAAACTTCAAAGACCGGCCACATTTATCACCATAGTTCTCAATAATGTTTATTACCATTGTTAGCTCACTGAACAACCTTCTTCTTGATTTACTTGCAAATAACTTTATTATATAGTGTTCATTCCTTCTGTCTATATGGATGCTTTTGTCACCCACTACATACACATAAAATACTTGCCAAAGGCCTCTTTGAATGGTCTGCTTTTGAATCACCTTGTTCTCCTTGAGAATTAATTGTAGAAAAGGAAGCAGGAATATGTAGAATACATAACAATCACACACTGCTCTCTTTAACTGCTGTCACCTAAAGATTAGAGTAAGTTGGTTACCCAGTAAGCATTCCCTCTGTTATCAGTACCACCCTGAACCCCTGCAGCCTTGGCCTCTTTGGGTTCCAAGACAATTTTGAAAAACAAAGATCAGTCTGGCTTGCTGTAAAGAGAGATTTTGTTACCCACATTAAGTCTTTAGGCTGTATGACCTTTGTCTCAGAGATTTCACAAAAGTTTCAAAATCATATCTTCTCTTGTCCCCACTCATGTCCATTCCCTCTCGTCATCTATCTATATAAAACCTTATATGCAAATCGACCAACAACCAGTCGCTATGACATGCACTGCTGGGGTCCAGCCCCAGCAGGTCCAGGGGTCCCCAAAGGTGTGGACGGAGTCGGCGAAGAAGGAATGACGCGGAGACAGCGTTCAGTGGATCAGCAGCCTAGGCAGGATCTCTAGCCAAGTTCTAGTCAGGATCTCCAGCGAAGTTCTAGGTGCTGTGTAGGTCCTGTCTGCTAAGTTCTGGGTTCTGAGTTCTGTCTTCTGAGGTCTGCCTCTAAGTTCTGTCTCCTGTTGTCTTGTTGCATCTGTATTTATACCAGGTGATTCTAATCCTATCACTCTCTATTCCAAAGGCTAGGGCGTTTCTTATCGCCATTCCAGGGAGTAAAGATTAGGTACTTAAGCATGATTGTTCGTAGTTAAAGTGATAAATTACCCGCCTGGCAGTTAAGAGGTTTTATTCCCTCCCGAACTTCAGGGGAAAATCCCTACCTGGGGCAAAAACCTTTCTCAGAGAGGTGACCTTGGTTAAAACACATAGTGCCACGAAGGTGAGCAAATATATTAAGAACAGTATGCCATATATGCCAGGTCCCTTGAAACAGCAAGGATGGGCCGGCTCCCGGCAATGCACTGACTACCAGGGGGCAGACACTCAATGCAGGAGCTACCCCAGCTCGCAGGCCCCAACTGGCAGGGCAGTTACTTAGCTGGTCACCCCACAGGTCGGCTCTCATTGCCAGCCAGGCCTACGGACCCTACCTGTGCAGGAATTTTATGCACCAGACCTCTAGTGTCCTATAATGAGCAACACATAAGAGGCAGAAAGGGAAGTTTCTGGTGTTTTTTCCTCTAGGGGTTTATCGCCTTTTCTGACTCTCATGGTTTATGATACCATCAATTCTCCAATTATCGCAAATAGCCCATGATACTTTCATCTTTATGCATTTCCACCAACACTAGCACCATTAAATCAAAATTCCTAAATTATGTGAATTTTACATAGCAGGTGAAAAACCAGGGCATGGATGTGGATGAAGGTATTCTAAAGCAATTGTAAGCACTGAGCTGTTTGGTAAATAGCTATTTCACATTGGCAGGGACGGGGCAAATGTGAAGTCCCTGGTTCAAGCAGAGAAGGGAGGAGATAGACTAAGAAGTTTCCTATTTTCTCACCTCCTTGATTCTGATACTGTTGGAGTATTAAGCCTTTTTATTGTTAAAAATAGGTCTCTAGATCATTAAGCCTCTGCAACCCTAACTCATTGACATTCATTCTTAAGTTCTAAACAGGCTGTTTCAAGTGAACTCCGTCTAGTGTGTGAGGATGTTACTGTGTTGTATTAGTCCCAGGTTATATTCATCTTTAAAGCTGGCAAAAGCACTTTGCCCAGGTCACATTTCAGATAACTATTATGAAAACTAAAACATGAGATGTGTGAATCTACTTAAGCTTAGATTTATTCCTGCTTTTCCTCATTGTTAGTAGAATCCCAGGATACAACTTCCTAGTATCATGGTCCCAGGCATGATTTTAGTTGGCCATCATTTCAACAGTGTTCTGAAAGAAGTGTTTTCTTAGTGGGTTGTCTGAGACTGGCAGGGTGGAAACCAATATTTATTGAGCATGTGAGCTTTACTTATCTCATTTAATTCAAACAAAATTTCCATGAGGCATTATTACAGGCCCGTATTCCTTATCCAAAACTCTGGGAGTCAGATGATTTCAGGAACAGTGCATTCATTATCTTGCATCCCCAGCAAAGACTGGGTCAGCACCCTATAATCAGCCACATTCATATATCTGTAGCGAAACCTATGGTAGGCACACAAAGTGGAGTAAATAAAGTGTATTTGCTTTATGCATATGAAAAAATATTTATACACTGTTTTTAGATCTTTTTGCATTTTTAAATTGTGGATAAGATATTGTGAACTGGGAGAAACTAAGATGGCAGCAGAGATAAACACCGGGAAATTAAGGCCGCTCACAATTGATTAATACCTCAGAGAAACAATACGGACTTCATCCAGAACCATAGGAAGCCTGGCTGACTGTAAACTCTACAACTAGAAGGAAGAGATGAGAAAAATGGCGTGGGAGAATTACATAAATTGGCAAAGCTTACACAATGGTGAAGGCAGGATAGAACCAGATGTAAAAGCCCACTATGGCCCTGGCCAGTGTTGCTCAGTTGGTTGAGCATGATCCCTTGCACCAGAAGGTCACCGGTTCGATTTCAGTCAGGGCACAGGCCCGGGTTGTAGGTTTGGCCCCCAGGTGGGGTGTGTAAAGGAGGCAACCAATCAATGTTTCTCTTTCTCTCCCTTTTCCTTCCTCTCTTTCTAAAAAACATCAAATATATATATAGTTAAAGCCCTCTATGCTATGCTGCCTCACAAGTATGAATGGTGCTGTTTCTAGTGTATCGCTAATGTCCTAGTAATATTGAAGCTGGTAAGCTGAATTCTGCAAGATAGGGGGCAGCAAAGTCTTCAGTTGCCAATTTGAATCATGTTTTTTTATTAGTACTAATGATTTGGATGTTCTCTTATTTCTTTTCAAAGTGTTTTAGTGACTCACACAGATGCAGTAAAAATTTCAGATTTTGGTACCTCCAAGGAACTCAGCGATAAAAGTACCAAGATGTCCTTTGCTGGCACAGTCGCGTGGATGGCGCCAGAAGTGATACGAAATGAGCCTGTCTCTGAAAAAGTCGATATATGGTGAGCAGCACCGTCTGTACCAACTGGAAAACCTTTTCCCACTTTCACCCTGTCAGCATGTTCCTCCATCCACACTTCTCCTTTCCTCAAGTAGTCTTCAGTGTTACTCTCTTCTGGTTGGTTGCAGTCCCATATTACCCAACACGATGGTAAGAAGGGTTGGGATAGAATTAAGATGATTCAGTAAAGCATCAGTTTTAAGGACCTTCAAAGAATATGCTAAACTTTCTGGAAAATGGAACGTTTACTTTAAATAACCATTTAGTACAAAAGTCTTCCTGGACTTTACATTACATAATTCTCACCTTCTTAAATAAAATACTTTGAACAAAGTTTACCTGTTTTGGTGACTCAGACCATCATGTATATCTGTGACCTACTGATGTGAATAGTTAGACGTATTTGAGTTGTATAGTGCTATTTACCCTTTTATAAACACCTCTATGGGCTATGCTTTTTTTGTTGGTGGTGACCTTTTTAGAATCTTTATCACTTTTTCCTCCAAATCTTTGCTATTAACAGTGTATTTCCCTGTAGTTGCTTTTTTCCATTCGTAAAATGGACTACTAATAACTTTTAGGCTAAAATAATAGCATATATTAAAATTGCATGTAACATCAGAGTAAGAAAAAGAAGAAATGTAGAGTGACTGGTAATTTGGGTAATTATTATGAATCTGTCCTCCTTAGGAATTATGCCAATTTATGTTCCCAACAGAAATGTGTAAGAGTGTTTTCTCAGCCTCACCAACAAAGTTAAACTTTTGGATGTTTGCCAGCCATGTAGGTTTTTTAAAAAAAAGTATATTTGGAGCAATTTTAATTTGTATTCTTCTTCTTATAAGTAAGGTTGTTCATTTTTTCATGTTTACAAACCATTTGTAATTTCTTATTTGTGAACTATTTTTATTCTTTGCTTTCTGATTTTTATTATCAATTTATGAATATTTTATATATTAAGAAGATTAGCCTTTTGTGTATATGAATTATAACTACTTTTCACATTTTGTTATTTTGCTTAGAGTTTTTTTCCATGCCAGATTTTTTTTAATGCAGTTTAGCTTATCATTCTCTCCTTTTATGGCTTCTGGATTTCATAATCAGAAAATCCTTCACCACTTTAAGTTTTTTTTTTTTAATTCTCATGTATTTTTCAGGAAATCTAGTTTCATTATTATAACTAAATCTTTGATTTATTAGGAATTCATCTTTATGTAAGATAACATATAAATTTCATTTTCTCCCTAGTTGTCCAAACAGCATCTATTAAATAATCAATTTCCCCCACTGGTTGGAGATGTCACTTTTATCATATATGCAATCCCTCTATGTAGTTGGTCTAGTTCTAGATTTCTCTTCCATTTCATTAGTGTAGCTGTCTGTTCATGCACCAGAGTTAATCACTGAAGCCTTATAAAACGTCTTAATATTGGTAGTGCTGGTTACCTCTCAGTGGCTTTCTTTCTTAGAGTTTTCCTGGCTGTTTCCATTTTTCTTGTAGCAGTATTAGAATTTTAAAACTGGGTACACATTCAATTAAAAATGAATAAAGAGCCAAAACCGGTTTGGCTCAGTGGATAGAGCATCGGCCTGTGGACTGAAAGGTCTCAGGTTCGATTCCGGTCAAGGGCATGTACCTGGGTTGCAGGCAAATCCCCGGTGGGGGATGTGCAGGAGGCGGCTGATCGATGTTTCTCTCTATCGATGTTTCTGACTCTCTATCCTTCTCCCTTCCTCTCTGTAAAAAATGAATAAAATATATTTTTTAAAAAATGAATAAAGAGCCCTGGCTAGTTTGGCTCAGTGGATGGAGCATCGGCCTGCAGACCAAAGGGTCCCAGGTTCAGTTCCAGTCAAGGGTACATGCCCGGGGTTGTGGGCTCGATCCCCAGTGGGGAGTTTGCAGGAGGCAGCCAATCAATGATTCTCTCTCATCATTGATGTTTCTATCTCTCTCTCCCTCTCCTTCCTCTCTGAAATCAATAAAAATATGTTTTTAAAAAAATGAATAAAGAACTAAAATACAAGCCAGCCTTTCTGAAACATCTTCGGTGCATGTTCTTGGTACTCCTGCAGGTCCTTTGGTGTGGTGCTTTGGGAATTGCTGACAGGAGAGATCCCTTATAAAGATGTAGACTCTTCGGCCATTATCTGGGGTGTTGGAAGCAATAGCCTACATCTTCCAGTTCCTTCCACTTGCCCTGATGGATTCAAAATCCTTATGAAACAGACATGGTAAGGAATATATTTCTCCCAATATTCTATTTTACCTTCCTCCTCAAAACCATACTTAAAACTTCTTCAGAACTGCAGGGAAGTCTCTAATGTGTATTGGGAGTGAATCGCCTGGTAGGATAAAAACCAGGAGCCTTAGAACGATTGATAAATAAATAATTTAGTACATGTTGAAATAGGAGGCCTTAGTAAATAATAGCTATTATTACTTTACTAGTCCTAAGGGATTATTATCAAACAGGTCACTGGTGTTCATTTCATCAACACTGAGATACAGCCATGCATAGAGTCAAAATGGCTTTCATTTTTATTAGAGTAGAATAAAATCTTTATCCTCCTGGACATACCTTCTGAAATGCACAAGCTGCCTTTTTCTACATTTAGGCAAAGTAAACCTCGCAACCGACCTTCTTTCCGGCAGACACTCATGCATTTGGACATCGCGTCTGCAGATGTTCTTGCCACCCCACAAGAAACTTACTTCAAGTCTCAGGTAAGTTTGGAAACTTTCTACCAGGTACTATTACTGAACAAACAGACAAGGAACTCTCAGTGAGAAAAAGTAGTTCTTAGAAGAGAGCCATTCTGATTCTTATAGCAATTATATAACTCCATCCATTGTGAAACAGTAACTGTGATGCTCATACATGTGACCTTTTGGAGTTTCTTGAGCACATATAGTATTCTCTCATTTGAAAAGAATGTATATCAGAATCTGGTCTTCATAATGGGTTCTGATGAAACTGTTGAGAAAAGAGGAAAAGAAGATATGAAAAGTGTAATGTACATATATGCAAATTAGAATTACTACTGAACTTCATGAACGTATTACTGTCTTTGAAGAAGAAAAAATACAATACAGAGGAGGGAAGTTAAATACCAGAAAGAGCCCATGATAGAATCAGGCCCAGAGAAAACCTTTTCTCCAACTTTATATGTCACTTGGTAGCACCAAATAAAATATCATTTAATGTGTCTGTTAGCTTTTACTGCATTACAAGCCATTCTAAAACTTATGGCTAAAACAATAAGCTTTTGTTTAGCTCACAATTTTGTGGGTCGGGAATTTGGGCTAGGCAGTTCTTCTGCCAGCTTTGGGCTCGCTCACATGTCTGCCGTTCGTTGCAAGGTCGGCTGAGAGGCTGGCAGGTTCCTGACGGCCTCATTCTCAAGTCTGACGACTGGTTGGCTATTCGCTAGAGGCCTCAGTTCTCCACGTGGCCTCTTACCCTGTGGCAGGCTAGCTTGGGCTTGTTCACACGGTGTTCTCGGGGTGACAAATGCAGCAAGGGGCAAGCCCCAGTGCACAAGTGAGTTTGAAGCCTGGGTGTGTATCATGCGTGCTAATGTCTCCTTGGCTAAGCAAGTCACAGGCCAACCCAGATGGAGAAATAGACATCGCCTCTTGATAGGTGCAGAGCGGGGAAGAATTTGTCACTGTTAAATGAAAATGCTACAGATGTCCTAAGGATTGGTGGTCCAACCACTATCAACATGGTTAGGGAGTGGACGGAGATAAGTGTACATGAGGTCCTCATCCCTCCCAGACCCGGGTAATAGCAAAAGGAGTAAAATAGGGTGAAACTATGGATTTTGAAATAAGTGTGATGATCCTAAGTTATAACTTTATGCCTGTAGGATTTCGCAACAGTATTACCTAATTTCTTATCATATAGCTTTGTCTCACTCATGGTACTGTGCTTCTAAGTGAATTTTTGTAAGATGAATTCCATCTCCACATTATTTTCCAGTATCATTTCAAAGATTCATTCTCGCCCTAACCAGTTTGGCTCAGTGGATAGAGCGTCGGCCTGCGGACTGAAGGGTCCCAGGTTCAATTCCGGTCAAGAGCATGTACCTTGGTTGCGGGCAATCCCCAGTAGGGAGTGTGCAGGAGGCAGCCAATCGATGTTTCTCACTCATCGATGTTTCTAACTCTCTATCCCTCTCCCTTCCTCTCTGTAAAAAATAAATTTAAAAAAATTTTAAAAAAGATTCATTCTCAGAGATGACATCTTATTACCAATCGGTGTTTCAATCTATTCCTCATCATTCCCTCATCTGCAGTGGGGGATGCATTTACCTACCAGGAAAGTCTGTGTTAGAAAGAGTACTGAACTGGGAGGGGCATCATCCTGGGGGTTAAACAAGTCCTCCAATATGTTTTACTACCTGTCCCTACCCAAGGCTCAGAGTATGTGCTTCTCAGGTATCTGACAGACATAGAGATACTCTGCCCACCAGACATTGCGAATTTCTTAATAAAGTCACAGGGCTTCTGGCAGTTCCCACGAAAAGATAAGCCAGAGACTCTTATCCTGCCCAAAGTTCCAACATACTTTCTATGCAGCCACAAACTTAGCTCTTCCCACAACTGTGTCTTTAAATATTTAATTAGGCTTGCCCCTATAGTTTTTTAGTGTTTCTAAGGAATTCCTATGGAAGAAAAGTGTTTGATCTTAGAGCAGCGGTTCTCAACCTGTGGGTCGCGACCCCTTTGGGGGTCGAACGACCCTTTCACAGGGTTCGCCTGAGACCATTGGAAAACGCATATATAATTACATATTGTTTTTGTGATTAATCACTATGCTTTAATTATGTTCAATTTGTAACAATGAAATTGGGGGTCACCACAACATGAGGAACTGTATTAAAGGGCCACGGCATTAGGAAGGTTGAGAACCACTGTCTTAGAGAAAATAAGAGGATGTAGGAGATTGACTTCATACCATTTCCTCTGTTCTTGTATATGCATTCAAGTAAACTCCCTTAAAACGATTACGACAATTGCCTATCCAAATACGTGTAGGTGTGGGGCATGGAGAAGAAATCTGTCAAATAGCTGCTAGTGCTCAGAAAAAATCTTAGGGCCTTTTGTGAAATGAAAGGGAACAATAGTGAGCACTCTAGGAAATCTTTCCAGCGTAGGGTCTGGTTGCAACCCCAGCTTTGCTTCCTTTACTACACAGTGCCCATAAAACTATACATACCACAGTTTTGAAAAGCAGTTTTTGTGAGCATGCTAAGTCACAAGCTGTTGAGACAGTATAACTGTATATACTTGGAAAACTTAAATTTCTAAGCAGATTTTACTTGAGTGCTCCCAGAATATCACTTCTTAGCCAGTGCAACATGTTTGAAGCCCCCAACATGTGCCAAGCACAGTATGGTGCAACCCAGCACCCACAGTCGGTGTCCTCACTTGTACCAACTCACTTTTATCAGCACATGCAGTGCTAAATGTGTGAAGATGCAGCATATATAGCACAGATGAGATCAGAAAAGAAAAGGTTCTTTTGGAGCAAGAATATGAAAGGAAGAAGAAAGGGAGGGGAAGGGAAGGAAGAGAGAAGAAAAACTTGTTACATTGGATATCTTTTAATATCCATTAATTCTTCCACATTTTTCTCCCGACATAAAATTGTACTGCTCCTTAAAGAGCCCCCAAATCTGCTATCCTTGCTAGTTTCTAGAATTAGGCCCTGAGTCTCAAACCCTGTCCTATGATCCTGGATAACTCACTACATTCTCTAGACATCAGCTTTACTCATCTAAACAATAAAGATAATCATATCTTCCCATCCTGGTGGAGTTTTGTTGAGGACCAAGTGAGACCATAAAAGTGCAAATGATTTGTAAACTGTAGAGAACCTCCCACAAAGCTACAGAAATTAAGCCTCCTTTGGGTTGTTACATTCTGGGTACTTTTTCTGATGACCTCCTGGGATGGATAAGATGTAATTGTACTTTGACGTTATGCCACCCAGGTGGAGAAGAGCTGGTTATTTGCACATGGTTTTGCTTTGCTGTAGTAGTCTTGCACCTGAGGCCTCACCTCCTCTTGCCTGCTAACAAAATCTTATCAGCATCAGTTATTAATCAATGGTTGTTGGCCATCGTTTCCACCTTCCACCAAAACTGTCAGTCCAGAGCACTGCCCCAGCCTAAGAGAAAATGCTTCATTCATCTGTTTCTCATCCGCGGCACATGTGTGAAGACGCAGCATATATAGCACAAACGAACAAAGCAACCAATTTCAGTACAATATTAGATTCTGCCACAGCTATTGCTTCATTCGTAAGCAATAACATTTCTCCAAGTAGGCACTTATTGCTTCTGGTATTCAATTACATTTTATATCGGTCTTTAGAAACCATTTTAGCCTGGTCCCAAATCCCAGCTGCCAGATGGACCGTGTGCCCTGCTTCTAAGCTCTCCACCACCCTCTGCCTTTGCATCATTCTAATTTCCTTTTGAGTGCCACTATGACCACCATTAATTCAGGGGAGCTGCAGAGGCACTAAATTCACTGTAAAACTGTGCTGTCTCAAGAGTAGTCTTGTCATTCCCTAGCCGTTTGGCTCAGTGGATAGAGCGTCAGCCTGTGGACTAAAGGATCCCGGGTTCAATTCTGGTGAAGGTCACGTACTTTGGTTGCAGGTTCCCTGGCCTTGGTTGGGGTGCACGCAGGAGGCAGCCAATCGATGTTTCTCTCTGTCTCTCCCTCTCCTTTCCACTCTCTAAAAATCAACGGAAAAATATCCTTGGGTGAGGATTAACAAACAAACAAACAAACAAAAAGTAGTCTCGTTCTGAGCAAGTAGGTGCTTAGTCTGGAAGTGGGCCCTTACATGGGATGCAGGAAACAGGACTCTGTGCCAATCAAGAGTTGGGCTTACCACATCTAAGTCTTTACTGACTCAGAATCTATGATTTCCTGCTACTTAGCCCCCTGAAATCCTGCTTCTATATTCCTCAAGAGAGGCTGTAACTCATTCTTTTTTTATTTTGAGGTAAAATATCCTATATAATAAAGAGGTAATATGCAAATTAACCCTCATGCCATCACAAGCTGGCTGACTATGACCAGGCTGGCAGGGGGTTATTGAGGGATGACCAAATGACTGAACAGCAGGCTGTGTGGGGCGACCAGGTCAGCAGGGAGAGGAGTTGGGGGCAACCAGGCTGGCGGGGGGGCAGTAAGAGGTGACCAGGCCAGTAGGAGGGTTAGTTAGGAGTGACCAGGCCAGCAGGAAGGGGGCAGTTAGGGGCAGCCAAGCAGGTAGGCAGGTGAGTGATTAGGAGCCAGCAGTCCAAGATTGTGAGAGGGATGCCCGACTGCCAGTTTAGGCCCTATCCCCGAGATCAGATCTAAAACAGCAGTCGGACATCTACCAAGGGGTCCCGGATTGGAGAGGGTGCAGGCTGGGCTGAGGGGAGCCCCCCCACCCCCCACCCTGTGCACAAATTTTGTGTGCTGGGCCTCTAGTATATAATATAACATTTTCCATTTTAACCATACAATTCAGGAGCATTAATTACATTCACAATGTTGTGAAACTATTGATCTGTTTCCAAAATTTTTCATCACCCCATTAAGCAATAATTTCTCATTCCCTCCTCTCCACAGCCCCTGCTAATCTCTGTTCTACTTTCTGCTTGATGAATTTACCTATTCTAGATCCTTCATTTAACTTTGTTTCACTTAGAATGTTTTTAAGATTCATCTATGTTGTAGCATGCGTCAGAACTTCATTTCTTTATGTGACTGAGTAA